TGGTCTGTAGATCCTTTTTTCTCAATCATCTACTGATTTCTTTAATAAATGTTATTAATATTAAATTAATTTGAATACAGCCAAATTCGGAGAATTACAAGAAGTGTGAAAATAACGTCCATTCAATTTTTAAATATGGAAAGTTTGGAAGTGCCGGCCAAAAAGATATTTCACGAAGATACAATGGGTACGTGTAAATTTGATCTTTGGGTTTTATTATATTTCATTCATAATAATCGATGTTCTTCATTTTTTCAGTCTGATTGAAAAGTTTCGATTACATGCACAAGAAGAGAAAGCCGACCATTTAGAAAAAATCTTTACTTCCTACATAAATCGTTCAATTCATGAAGCTTCGATTCCCGTGAGTTAGTTACCTGTTTTTTTTTTTTTTAAAAAAAAACTTGTTTTAAGGTTAACCCTAATCATCGTTTATAGGTGCATACGCGTTATGATATGCTGTACCTTTTGCTAAATTTATCCGAATCACCGCTTCAAGTCTCATTTAGTCTTGCCCTTCCGAAATCAAGGTCATCAAAACCTCAATTAACGGTTGAAGATATATTTCGCGAAGAACCATTGGTAGGTTCACATTGGGAAAAAAAATCAAGCTACACTGATGATGATGATGAGTATGATGATGATTGGGATTTTGATATAAAGACATGGATCAGAGAAAGGTTAGGTGATCGGGCTATTAACTTGCAAAACTCTCGAAGAACTGTAAGCATTAGTTAATGTCATGATTTAGATTTGTGAGATAATATGTTTTGGAGTTCAATCTTATTCACCACATTTATTTGTTGATCACAGTCAATACAAAAGAACGTACCAAATTTCGAGCAACAAAATGAAAAAGTTGACGTGTTAGAATTTGACATAGACCACGAACTCATTCGAGAATTGGAGTCGAAGCAATATTGGAGGAATGAGTTTCGTCATATTCCTGAAGGTACTAACTCTTCTCTTCATAATTCAATTTAATCATGAAAAAATTAAATTTTTTTTTACCTTAATAGAAACCAAATTTAATTCTAACGATGCTTGTACCCTGGGTAAGGTTAATCTTCATAATTACGCATTTTAATTATCATTGTTTTTGTTGCTGTTTTGCGATTGCTAAAGGTGGAATGGAAATTCTTTACACGACAAAAGCTCCTGCGCTTGCCGAGTACAAAAGTCGGGACGAAAGTTATCTATTTCACGATCCAACTCGGGTGGAATACCTAACTGAGCTCGTTGCAATACGTGAAGTATTGTTCATGTTATCGGGAAGGCCGAGTTATTTATTTCATCAACAGGAGAATGGAAAATTTCAGGTATGAACTTTTCATGGTTTCATCATTGTTAATTCATTTATAATTATTACTTATAATATGAATGAAATAGATTAAGAGTAATATAACGTTGACGCATTTGTCTGAGGGCGGATTTAAGGCTTTGCTGGATTTTTTTTGCGATTATGGAAATAAATTGTTCAAGTTGAGAATGATTGCTTCAAAGTAAGAACCAGATTATCGATACAGTACCAAACGATCATCCTTTTTTTTTTTCTATCGCGAATACTTGATACTAAATCGTATCATCATGCACAGAATATGTAGTGAACCTTGTACCTTATATGGACAAACAGCGCAGGCATTTTCTGCTTCTATTTTAAAGATGGTTTGGAAGTTTGACAAACTGTTGGCAGATTTTGAATTGGAATATCAGGTTGATCGTATAAAATCTCGAGGTTTGGATTTGTTTTACTATCATATCAAATAATCATTAAGTTTATAATTCGTGTTAATCCTTACCTTACTAATTTTTAACCTTTGAATCGTTAAGCTCAGGATACATATATTTCACTTTTACATCTAAGAAGTGAACTTATGAACCGGCTATATGAATTCACGATCATACATAACTTTGTTGAGAAATCAAGTTTAAACGGTACTTACCATTAAGGTTTTGTTTATTTGTAAACAAATTATCAATCGTTGAAACAAATTCTTTCTCCTACTTTAGACATACCAGAACTTTGTCATAAAGAAAATACTTCTAAACAGTCCAGGAACCTATTAATAACACCATCAAAAATTGCTTATGATATTCTTTCCGGATTGTATGATGAGATGTCTACGCATCAAACCGTTGGAAATCATTCTATTTTCCTAATGCTTGGAAAACACCTTGACAATTCATTTGTTCCTATTATTCGCATGATGAATGACTGGATTTGCAAGGGAGCATTTCATGATCCTGCAAATGAATTTTTCATCGTTAGGTTTGTGATTTTAAATTTACATGCATATCAAATCAAATATTACTTACATAAATTGATATATTTCTATCCTAGAACAAGTATAATTCAAAATTCATCACAGTATTGGAAAGAAATGTATAAGATTCGAGAAGTTTCGTCATTGGACAATTCAACCTCGTCACGGCTGCTATTTCCAACTTTCTTGGAACCTTTCATAGGGCGTGTTTTGTTTTCCGGTAAAGCAAAGAATTTGCTAATGTCTTTGAAGCTTAAAGAGGTACTTACGTGTTAGACGTCCTTTTAGTGGATCAATTTTAATCATCATAATCGTATATTCATTATCGTTACACAAATATGTTTTAGGAAGAAGTAATGTTTCGAATGACTTTTCAACATCATCCGGAAGAATTTGAATTTGATACAAAATCCTTGCAGTTTTTTGATTTGAGCCAACCGGACGAACTTGGGCCGTTAAACAAATCGCCTGGAAAAGGTTTCATGTCAGCTCTTTTCCCTCTTTGGAATAAATCAAAAATACAAACGGTCGAATATACGGAACCAAAACCACGATCGCAGAGTTACATTGGTGAAGATGATCAACATCTAAACATAGATCCAATGATAAATTTTCAACCTTTCACCGAACGATTCAGAGAAAAGTTTGAAGATTATCTTCATCCAAGATATATGCGCATAGGACAACAGCTCTATGGTGCCTTGGTTGAACGGTGTCACCTTTGGAGACATTTAAGAGCTCTTGCAGGCATATATTTTATGCAACAAGGCGAATCAATGCATCTATTAACTGATGTTTTGTTTGACAGGGTTTGGACATATTATTTGATAATTGTTATTCCTGCGAGTGATAATTGATGAACTGAAATTTAATAAGTAGTTATTATTCTATTGTTTAGATAGATAAGAAACAAATGTGGTACGACTCTTACGTTCTGAATGAAGTAGTTTTAAACACCATCAAGAACTTCAAATGGTTAGATAAGAGTTCAGTCATTGTTTGGGTAAATGATGAGGCAGGCAAAAAACCAAATATAAAAACGGTGAGAGTATTTGAAAAAATAGCTTTTGAGTATCGAGTAAGTTTCATGTTATTTGAATTGGTTTGTTTTAACTTTCCCCGACTAATTTATCTGTTTCAATTCAGCTACCTTGGCCACTCGATAATATAATTCGTAGCAATACTTTAACGTCTTACAAACGAATAATTGTGTTTTTGTTGCAAGTTAAAAGGGCGAAATACCTTTTAGAACGGTTGTCCTTTTCTCGAAATCAAGACAACTCTAAAGCCATGGTTCTATTTTATGGTGTAAGAATGAAGTTAATATGGTTCTTAAATACAATATGGGATTACGCCATGAGAACTGTGAGTACACTTTGCATTTATATCAATTTATAATGATAATACTATTGTTTATCATGAAAAATTTTTTCAGATATTACTATCAGAAACAGAAAACTTTTATAAGAAACTGGAACAAGTGTTTGATATCGATGAAATGATTTCATTACACGGGAATTATATTCGCACCGTTCACGATAGGTGTCTGTTGAATGAAAATGTAGGTCATCACTTTATATTATATGACAAAATCTCTGAAAGTTTCTAAATATCGTTTTATCTCTAGGCAACTCCGATGCACAAATCGATATTGGATGTTTTGGATTTAATAATACAGTTTAGTATACTTTATACAAGATATCGTGGTGAGAATGTTTCCTTTTATGATCATTCTCGGGACGACAGATCAAGAAGGTTCATGGATGATAATTCAGATTCAGACTCGGATTCATTTATAATTGACGATGATGACGATCAATTGGATAAAGGAGGAGAAAATGGATTTGAATCGATTGTACCACATATAGTAGATTACGATGATTTTCTTAATGGATTATGCAGGATTGATAAAGAATTTAATAGACATAAAGAATTTATTAGTAATTCAATACAAGCGATCGCTAAAGTAGGAGGATTTTGGTGGTTTGATGCTTTAGCATTAGCTTTAGGCTGAGAAATTATAACGTTTAAAGTTGGATAATATTTTAAATTTGATCAATTGAAACTGCAAGTAACGTTTAATCAAAAATTAAATTTTTATTTTCACATTTTTGCGTTGATTAATTTCGCGTAGTTCAAAAAAAAAAAAAAAAAAAAAACAGAATTTATTATACCTTTTCGATTAAAAAATGGCGGATTTTAAGGTTGTAATTTTTCGAAGAGACATTCCTTAATTAAAACTAGGGAAAACGGTAAGTCCGTCGCTTTTTTAACGTTATACAAACTTTGCCGATTATAGTATATATGTATCATTTTTGTAAATCATAAACATCCCTTAATCTAACATATAAACCCTTTATATTTATTTTTTATTTAAAAATTAAAAAATTGGAAAAATTGGAAAATGCGCTTTATTCCTTTTTTATTTATTTATTTGAGAATATTTAATTATTATCAACTAATTGTTTTTTCATTACTATTTATTATTATTACACCTTTATAATCATTGCGTTGCTTCATACTTGTCCCATTTACTAATTTAATTAGTCTTACTTTTTTTTTTTATCGAATACCGCTCTATGATAAACAAAGAATTACCCATGAGTAATTGAACGAAATCCCCCATTATCAAAGCAAAGAAACGCCATAGGCAAGATATAAATATTATTGCTTTAACCTTTAAAGTTATTAGAGAAGGTTTAGAAAAATTAATGAATTAAGTCCTTGTAAAAATAACTATTTTGGAGTTCGATTCTTATTTAAATTAGGACTATTTTCGGTATCATTGCGTCGTCTTTTGTTTTTTGTATTTTTTTGCATTATCTTTTTTATGACCTTTTCCGACTCAAGTAATTTTGACTACAATCAATATGAGTTGTTAATATTTATCTTTTAAAAATAATAACAAAAGGTAATAAAGTAACTTACCTCTAATGAAATTAAAATACAATATACATCATCTAATATGTTTGAGTCGTCTTCATCAACAGGTAACAAACATTTGTCTACCTTGCCAAATCTATAAATTCCTGAACCAACCCAGTCCATTGCATACAAGTTTAACTCAACCCCTAATAATTAAATATCAATGTTCTCTTTAGTATGAACTCGTTATATTTAACTTCTACTTCTATACTTACCGATTTGCAACCATCCATATACAATTAGTTCTTTACGTTGTTCATCATTTACATGTCGATTTTCTTTAAAAAATTGATTGAGGCTATCTCTTAGCATTACCATTAACTTTACTTTATCAACATATTGTTTCTTCATGCAAGAGGCGGGTGTTCCAAAAGGACCAAGTCCCCCAGAAACTTATCCATAAATTATTTCGAATTTAGAAAAAGGATCAGATTTTTCATTTCGTGCCATCTTTGTCGAAATCGTTTGAACTTCACCCCTAATATTGTATAAAAAATAAATTGAATCTCCATAACATCATTTGAAATCCTTTTAAAGGAAGTATTGAATTATTTACCAAGATTTCTTGATATTTGCCGATGTAAAAATGCTAGAAAACAATGGAACTGTCGTCCACATTTTTAATTCCTCCTCCGAACACATATTTTGGAGATTCGGCATTTTGTCTTTCCTGGTTAATAATAATCCAAAATAATTATTAAAAAAAAAATTACAGAATATATTCAATAAACATTCATAAACTGGATATTAATATTTAACTTTTTAATGTTTACATTTTTATCGACGTTTTCACAATTATCGTCGAAATATTTTTGAATGTAATCTGGAACAGGGACATAATTTCTCCATCCGATTTTATTTGAAAATCCCCGAGATAATTTTTGAATTTCTTCGTTTTTTATTTAAAGTCATCGTGACGTTCTTTAGTCAAATCCAGTACTCCCCAGTATACAGGGCTGAAAATTAGTAAATGAATATATTAATGAAAATGAAGGACCGGGCTTTCAATAAATGATGCTTAACTTACGTTAAAATTTTACGTGTTTTTGGGATTAATAGATAAATAATGTTATTTGAATACATACTTATAACCATTCATTTCAAGCTTTACCTCAGAAGCCTCAGAAATTCCATAGTTGGTATTTTCTAATGGTAATGAAACTTCATTTGATAATAAAGTTACATCAACATTCTCAATTATAGACCTTTCGTTGGATTCATTAAATAAAATTCGACGTTTTCTTGCATTTCATTATCGTCTATCACATCATTTTCTTGTCTAGCATCAGTACTGATATTAAAAGGATCTTTTTCTGCTTTCATCTCGGAATCATAATTACCACTTTCAGCAAATTTCTTTACTTAATCTGATGAAAGGAAACCATGATTCTCATCAATCTTGTCGATAGAAGTCTAGCAAAAAATGAAGAATCTTAGGACAACAAAGCCTGAATACAATACACTGAGTACTGCTTCTGTAACAGGTCTCACCTTTTTCACTTATTTTTCTTCAACCGTAAAATCTTCATCTCGATTGTGTTTTCTCAAATTCATATGAGTGTCAGTAATATGTGTCACAGCATTCCCAGTTGCGTTCACTTGATTTTTCACCTAATTGAAGAAAATGTTACAATATTACATAGTATTTTTTACAATATTCTGACGTGAAGCCTACTGTTGAAATTCAACTATAAAACTTGGATTATTCATATTATACTTTGTCGACGCAGTCCAATACTTAAAAAAAAATAAAATAAAATAAATTAGAACAAAAGAGTTCAACTGTCAATTAATAGCCCTTAGTGTCGAACAAAGAATTCATCACTGTCGACTAAGAGTCACAGCTTGCGCTTGAAAAGGAAGAACTAGAATACTAGATCATTGCTAATAACCTACTTTCCAGCGGTTAATAATTTCTTGGGCTTTTCTTTTTCGCGTCAAGTCGAATCCAGAATTTACAACTGCCACTTTTCGAAGGTCCTTTTTTATGCTATCTAAAATGGTTTACCAATCTTTATGCTTTAAATTTGTACGATAGTGATCTAAAACCTTATCGCAAGTCCATTCGTTGGCCGAAAACAAATAAAAAAAATCCATGTCAATTTCTTTTTAGGAATAGATGATTATTTAAATGATGATCAGTCACGGATGACGTAGAGAACATACCGCCATTTTGCTTATTAATACAGTTGCCAATACCGTATTTTATCGAAATTAAGCACCTTCGAAAATAAGCACCTCCCTTAATTTTATGCGATCTCAAGCAAAAATCGAAAATAAGCACCATCAAAAATAAGCACCCCCCATTTAACCTTTATTATTATGATTTACAAATTTCCAAATTTACAAATTAACAAATTATACAAATATAGTAAAAATATAATTTCTAACTATCCACTATCCATATCAATAATTTCAAGTTCTTCCTCATTTTCATCTTGAATCTCTTTAAGAAAATCATCAATTTCTTCATAAATAGCATCATCTTCCGATCCATCTAAAGCATTTGATATACTACATTTTTTAAAGGAACGGATAATAATGTCATTAGAAACATTTTCCCATGCTCGTATGACCCATCCACAAACATCACTCATTTTTGCATGTCGAAGGTTTCCTCCTACAGTATACCCAGCACCACCATTGGACATCCAGTAATGCCATTCTTTGTGAAGATTATTCTTAAATGGCTTATTAATTGCAACATCAAGTGGTTGACAGATGCTAATCAAACCACCTGGAATTACTGCCAAATCGATGTTATTTTTGCTAAATTTGTTTTTAACTGACTCCTCTAAATGGCCCTTAAAAGAGTCATATACCATTATGGCTGGAAATCTGAACTGATTATTTAACCTTCTTATATGATTAAGATAATCAATATAACATTTCATAAGATCAGCATTCATCTAAGCACTTTTCTGAAACCATACAATTATATCAGGAGGAGCTTTTTCTCCACGTGGTATTTGCTTTCCTTTAAAAATGCAAATGGGTAGTAATTTGGTACCATCTATAATAAAAATTAAAAACTAAATTAATTTTTTTTATTTATAAATCATTAACTAAAAGGTTCTTACCTGCAGCGCATGTTAAAATAACAGTAAACCGGTTATTTTCATTACCTGTCCTATGAATATGAACTGTTTTTCACCTTTTACATGAGTGGTAAAATTTCTGATTATATCAAACCAAATAGAAGTTTCATTCATGTTAAAAATCTTACACATTTTAAAAGACTTTCTAATTCTAAGACGAATAATAAATCTGCAAAAATTATCTAATTTTTCTTCCAATTGTTCAGAAAGTTTTTGAGATATTTTTATATATCGACGTATAGCCAGTTTATACCTTTTCATAAATGCATTTAACCAGCCTGCTGTTACTTTAAACTCTTTTATTGAATCTTCATAAAGTACTATCATTTCTTGTCAGTCCAAAATTCCAATATTGAAATTCATAAGGTTATAGAAGTTACAGCTAACCCTTTTTTTCTTTGCTCTATAACCTAATTGTATAATTTTTCTCAGCTTTAATATAGAAAACCTTTCGGCTAGAACCCACATATTTACACTTATCTTTTATTTCAGCTATCCAATTTTCACTTGCCTTAACCCAGCATCTAACCATAGTACTATCAAGTTCGAAATATCTGACTGCTTCATTTCTTCCATGTTGAATAGCATAAGTAACTACAGAAATATTTTGTTCAATAGAATATGATTTATGTTAACATTTAATAACTTTTGATATAGTGTAAAACAGTTTAAAACAGGTTTTTCAGAAGTTGTAGAGATTGCAAAAAATTTATAATGGTCACATAATATTAAAAAACCCTAAATTAAAGTTATGCAAAATTGCGTCAGGTAACGTAATAATTTGAAATCTTTTTAAATTAATTTTAGCAAATTTTAAGAATTTTTAAAAAGTATCAAAATTAAGCACCACCCCTAACTTTTCGCCTAAAATCCTTGTAAAAAGGGGATGCTTAATTTTGATAAAATATGGTAATTGTTCATTATAATATTATTATCAATAAAAATCATATAAGACTCAAAAATCGTTCAAAATCATAAACTCAAATTCTCTTCTCCATATATTTATCTGCATACAAGGCAATTAAAAAACTTGAAATCTCATCAGATACCTTACGTCATTAGCTAAAGCAAGAAGAATTATTGCTAAAATGACTCCTTTTAGTACTTATCTTTATGACAAATCTTCCATTTTTTCAGAATTGATTTCTCAAGATATCGATTACACCATCATCGCCATTACCACTACCACTACCACTAAAAAAGGGTTTCTTTATACACAGTTCTCTAGTATCAAGCAAAAGAGAATCTTGAACGGTAGAAACAACTCTTCAGAATCTGATACCTAACCTATGAACTCAATATGAATTGAAAATCTCAAGAAAGCTGTCATTGGTTTGTAATATAATTTTTTTTATCATCATACAAAGTTGTGTTTATCAAATATTGATTTATATCATTTCATTTAGCTTGATATAGAGAAAATATAACATTAATGATGCAAATCAACAAATTTATTTCTAATCCAATTGAAAAATATTACGAGAATTTAGAAAATAATCAAGCTGTAACATTACAATTAAAAATTTTGTCAAATGATTTGGCAAATACAAGAGCGAAATGAGAAATTATATGAAATATTTTACAAGGATTAATCCTTAAAGTGGAGTAGATTGGGTGAATAACAAACATTTATTGAATTTGATATTTATTATAAAAAGGAAATCTAAATTGAAAACATAAAAATGTTACCTATTCATAGGGATGGGCGTTAATTAACCTAGTTAATTAACCGTGGTTAATTAATCGTTAATTAACCGTTAATTAACCGAGGGATAATTAACCATTTTGGTTAATTTTGAATTGACCAATCAAATCAAAGAA